AGAGAGAGGTCTCCCCTCCACCATAACTATGAAGATCTCAGAGGACAGATACCAGTAGCAACAGCCACTCACTTGCAATCCAGCGCGGTGCAATAATGCCGAGCATCCCAGCTACGCCCAGCCGAGATGCGCACAGACTATCCCACAACAAGCTCCCGAAATGAGCACAGAGCTGGTGGCACTTTGCTCATTTCGCCACACAAAGTGCTTTCTGGAGTGAAACCAAAATGACAACGCATGACAAACATAATGACATAGGAGTAGGGCTGCAAAAGAACGCGCAAACGTGAATTCCACGCTGAAGAACGTTTCAGCTGTTGAGCCTTCTTCAGGTGAGAGTAAGTAAATACAGGGCTGACAGCTGGATGCTTTCATGATTAACTGAAAAGACTGCCCAGGAACACCTGATCCATCCCGCCGACTCCCACCTGCTACCAGGAGCCTGACCACGCGCGTGCCGAGCTTGAGGAAGGCAAAGGCAGGGCCGGTACAGCACGCGGTGACAGTGCACTTGCAAAAGTGCCTCAGTAATACAACAACACAGGCCAAGTCAAAGTCACCCAGCTCACTGGGGTTACAGTAACCACTGCCTTCCCCCTCTACAAATCCGCTGCTTAAAGCGCACAAGAGACTTTTCTTCATTTAACCAAACGGAGCACGCCCTTCGATTTCCTGTCCGCACGGCCAGCTCCGCTGCCTGTCTGGTTCTGAACTACAGTCCTGCAGGAGGGCTCCCGGACTCAGATACTGGATCAGGCAGCAAGCTGGGCGGAGGAACGAAAGCAAGACGGGCCGCCCGTGAACGGCCCAGGGCGACGCCCCTGCTTACCCGATCTTGGTCTTCTGTTTGGATCGGGAGGCGGCGGGGCCCTTGGCCTTCCTCGAGGGCGGGTCTGTGGGCGGGGCCTTGGCGTGGTGGGGCTTGTGGTCCTGCCGCGGCGGCGTGGAGGAGCAGGGGAAGCTCTCGGGGCTCATGACGCGCGGGATGTTCTTCTCCCCGCGCTCCCGCGCCTTGGCTATGGCCTCCGAGATGATGCGGTTGGCCTTCTCCTGCTTGTCCTCCAGCGCCTGCTCCATCAGCGGCTTCTTCTTCTGCCTCTTCTCCGACGACGAGGAAGAGGAGGAGGAGGAGGACGAGGTGCCGCTCTTCAGCTGAGGGCTGAGGACCCTTGTGTGTCCACTGGAACCATTAGTGTTCTTGGAGGAAGGGGGCTGAAAAAGAGAGAGAGATGACATCAGTCACTACCAAACATTAAAACACACACTGCCTATATTTTGAAATAGGATCTTGGGAAGATAAACTCTTCAATTAATTAGTCCACTGAATGGTTTATTATGAACCCCTTCAGTAAAGCCACATTTCAACGTACTGCTAAGGAGCTCACAGCTTAAGCTGGGAAATAATTCAGATTGCGCCAGGGAGCAGATTAATTCCGAATGTTCATTTACAATACCAAAAAGTTACAAAGCAGCTCTCGCCGCCCCCCAGGCAATATTTTTCATCTTCATGACGTGTGTATCGGTGGCCTTTAATAAACCGTGGACATCAGCAAGAACAAATTTGCTTAAACCAAAAGCCTAAAGATGAGAATGATACTTAAATGGTTTGGTTTTGTGACAGCTGATCACAATCAAACTCCAGTTTTGACCAAAAAGGCAAAAACTACTTCTTTTTTTTTCCTCTAGATGTAAAAGCAGCAAGGTTATCTACCAAAACGCACAACATAAAAGTAAGCAATTTACATTTCTTGTTTTTGCCTAAATGAATACAGGCAAGAATTCAGGCCTTCCAGAGCAATCAGCACTGTGCACCTACAGTAAGTCCGAGTAAGAAAGCTGTATAAATTTCGTTCAAGAATTCAGTCACAGAAGGGTAAGGTCATTAAAATACCTCAGCAACAAAACTCAAAACAGTGAAAAGGCTTCTACATGCTCCACAGCAGAAAAATACAAACCCCAGGATTTTTATTCCAACACATGGAAAAAGTTAAAGCACCGTCTTGTTTCATGTGTCCACGCAAATACACAATCTTTACTGCAAGAGCTTTACAGTCTATAGCAAAGTACAGATTTTCATGAGTCCAAATGAATTTAACAACACGGACCGGAGCTCCTCCACCTTTCAGAACCTCTTAGGGAAAACCAAGATACATGGTTTCAATTAAAGCACATTTTTAAAGCATGCTAGTCCCAGAGCACACTTGCTAAAACGGGGAGCATTTCAGGGTGGCCCACAGGCCCAGCTATTTTCTCCAGCAGTTTTAAAAAGAGCCTCCTGAAACATGCCCAAGTCTTTTTTTTTTTAAACTCACACAGCAGTCAGGATCTTTATATCCAAGTTCTCTGTATTTAGCAAACACACTGGTGCCACAGTCTATTTCTGCCGTCCGCAGAGATTCAGCTCCAGAGCAGTAATGAGGCTCTCTTGGTGGCAAATAAGCAGCAACAAGATGTGAGAAAACTGAAATAATAATCACAGCAGCTAATAAAGAACAAACGTGCAGATATTTATTTTCATTGTTCCGCACTGTTACAGGTGATGTATGCTTTTGTGCACAACAGGCAATTGTTTTAAAAACATGCTAGGAGCCATCTAGAAACAAAAGGACAATGCAAAATAAAGAACAACGCAGCGGGGAGATAAACAGGCAGCATATCGGATGTGTTTGTACACAGCTTGGAGGGGAACGAGGCTGCACACTGGAATGTTCTCACTAATCCGACTCAAGAACAGGAAAGAATCCGCACAAAAAGACCTAGGAAAAAACCCCAGCTCCCAGACAAACAGTGAACCTCTGTATGATGTTAGGGAGGAGGAATTATGATGTTCGTGCAGCTCCTCCGCAGTGCTCCAGGTCTGTACAATATCCCCATCCCCCGACTCTCCGAGGGGGGGGGACACTCCACCACAGATTTCCAAAGACTTTTGGGTAACCTAGACCCCGTGTTGCACTTCAGCGAGCAACGTTTCAACACTCATCACTGACACACTGACGAGAGAGAGAGAGCGAGAGACTGCTGCATTGGAGGAGAGGAGCCAGTATCAGAGAAAAAACACAGAGCGCCGATGGGAGGGAGAGAGAGAGAGAGCGGAAAAAAAAAGAGAAAGAGAAAGTAAAAAAAAGGCAGCAGGCAAAGGCGAGCGGAGCATGCCACCTCTAGGCCTAGGAACTAAACAAACAAGGGAATCGGCGACGAGCTCAAGATGGCGAAGGCAGCCCGGGTCTGCAGCAGCCAGTAGCAGGGAAGGTTATTCAATCCTATTAGCCCTTCATCCCAGCCAACCCCTCCTCCTCCAGCTCGCTGCACGTTTCACTTACCCTTCCTCTTGGCCTCTTCACTGAAGACATGGTTTTTTTTTTTTTTCCTTTTTTCCAGCCACCTAACAAAAGCCTTGCCCCCTTTTGCCGGGTTTTT